TTCTACTCCAATAAAGATGTTAGAAAAAAAAAAAAAGAAAGAAAGGGGTCTTGCAAGATGAGTGGGGGAGGGAAGAGGCATTCCAGGCAGCAGCAGCCGCGAGTGCAGAGGCTTGGAGGTGAGCCGAGAGGAATGGGGCAGGGACTGGTGGGCGGTGTGCTGGATCCCGAGAGGACTTGAAGGCTCTTTGAGAACCTGGACAGTTCCCACAGGCAGCAGAACCCTGGTTCGTCTCCTCCAGGGCAGTACGTGTGGTTGATGGGGAGACAGACCTGACTTTGGCTCTTTCAGGCTCTGATGTCAAGTTGCAAGCCATGGAGAAGGCTGTGCTTCAGGGCCTATGGCCTGTGCTCTGGGGTGGCTGCATCTTTCTCCAGGTCCTGGGGGGGGTCACTGGACAGCCCCCCTCCCCCCCCCCCAGTGCCACCAGGACCCAGCTGCCGCTCCCCGCTCCGAGTGCACCAGATGCAAGGAACCCGAGTTCTCCATCCCAACCAAACCAGCAGCATCAGCATGCTCTGGGGAACTTGCCAGGAATGCAGATGCCCAGGCCGCACCCCCAGACCCTCTGGATCGCACGCACTAGGGGTGGGGGACCCAGCAGTCTGGACGTCACAAGCCCTCCAGTAGATTCTGAGGCACATTCAAAGTGGGACTGGCTGGTCTATTTGCCAAGGCCCTGATCACGTCACTCTCCCCCGGACTCCGAGCGCCACACGGGCCCATCTGGCAGCCTGGCTGTCCTCCTGCCTACAGTGCAAGGGGCTCTGCAGGGTTCTCTGATCGCATCTTCTCCTGGAGGCGCCTGTCCTCTGCTTTCAGCCAGGGAGCCCCAGCCTAGAGTCCCCACGGCTCATGAGACTTTTTCTCTCAAGTGTCTGGTGCGGAACATCCTCCCCGTGCCACCTCCTACCCCAACTCCAACTCCTTCCCGCCCAGGCCGCCCCCATGTGGAGCCTGAGGGACTTGTGTGGGAGGCAGTTTACACGTGGGAGTGCAGCCAGGGGCCCTACAGGAGCAACATCCCTGCCTCATTGTTTAGAAAAAGCCTTAGCGCGCTGCTCGCCTGGAGTACTTTCTTCCTTTGTTTTAGTAACTTTTCATAAATTGTCCTTGGGGATGGTTGGGAGACAGTCACCACAGTGATTACAGGATTGGAAATGAGGGTTGGGGGAAGGGGCAGAGGAGTGAGCGTTGCAGGTGAGCAGGGCTGCCATCAGGGCTTGTGCAGTGTTCACTGCTCAAGGGTACCTGGTGGAGGGGGTGAGGGTGGGCTGAGAGCCAGGAGGAGGGCTGGACCCCACCCCAAGCCTGATGCCCTAGAGCTAAGGTCTGTTATAGGAGGAAAGGAGGGATTCTTTTTGTTGTTTTTTTTTGGGCCGCACCACGTGGCATGCGGGATCTTTGTTCCCCCACCAGGGATCAAACCCATGCCCCCTGCGTTGGGAACATGGAGTCTTAACCACTGGACTGCCAGGGAATTCCCAAGCGGGGATTCTTTCTAAGTCCAAAGAGCAGCCTGTGCACCACTTTGGGGCAGGGACCGTGCAGAAGGAGCACCTTAAAAAAAATTCCTATTTTATTGCTGTGAAGTTACTTGCCCAAGGTCACCTGCCACACTCCACTGCCTGCATGGCCTTAGCAGGCCTCAGCAGGTTGGGTGTGGAGGGGGGTGGATGGGGATGAAGGTACTTTCCCCCGAGTGGAATGGAAACATCTACCTAGGGAGGGCTGTAGGCACTTGTCTTCAGAAGACGGAGACCCTCTGTCACTAAGAGGAAAGGGGACGTTACCCTAGTGCTACTGATTAGTTTAATCAAGGCTCTCACTGATCCTCCGACTTGGATGACAGGGAGCCATAGTTTCCCCGTCACATTCTTCACTCAGGATTGCAGTCTGTCAGCAGATGTATCCAGTGCCAGGCCCTGTATTAAGTCTGTACCAAAATGGAAGAGTTTTGTGGAGTCAATCCTATGGGGGTGCCCTGGCCCTGATCTGGGGGTACTGAGTTCTTAACATGTTTTGAGTATCCTGGTGGCTGGGATGCTGAGGTTGGAGGAAAGGTCCCAGGAATCTTGGTCAGCGAACAGGAGTGAAGACTTAGGGAACAGGTCAATGCAAATGTGTACAGTTCAATCATCTCACCCATGGGCTCTGAGCCCAGCCCATTTTATTATGATTATTACTGGCTGCACCACATGGCTTGTGGGATTTTTAGTTCTCTGACCAGGGATCAAACCTGGGCCCTTGGCAGTGAGCTCGTGGAGCTCTAACCACTGGACTTCCAGGGAATTCGCAGCCCATTTAAAATAAAAGCTGTATTGCCTTTGCCCTGCAGCCTATACCCATTTTTCCCCAAGCGGGAAGAAACCTGATTTTTATGAGTACCTACTGTGTGCTGGATGCTTTGTGAATGAGGACACCTCACTCAGCCTGGGAGGTGACACTGTCGCTCTGGTCACAGATGGCCAAGTGGGGTCCGGCAAGGGGAAGTGGCTTACCTCCCAGCTGGGCATGCGGGCAGCATGGACAGCCAGGCCTGTGTTCTTACCACGGCCCCGCCCTGCCTTCCTGGCCATAGAGCCCCTGGGGACCCTCGCAGACGGGCCCCCCATGCTGCCCGGGCACATGGGAGGAGCCGCACCAGTTTCTTTCCTGAGGGTGATGGGGTCAGGGGTGGGCAGTCCAGGACAGTGGACAGACGGACAGGACGCCCTCCTCCTCACTTCTCCTACACACCTGTCGCTCTCAAAAGCACCCCCCATGCACACTAGGGCTCACACTTTCTGGCTCACACCTATGTCCCCATGTGCACTCGTACTTGACCTTGAGCTTTTGCAAAATCTCCTTCATAAAGGGAGGTAGGATGAGCTGGGCTGCCGGCAGTTACACCCAGTCCGCATCAATGGACATGGATGTTACTTGAACACCAGTGTGACAACTCACTCTCTAGCTGTCCCCGCCTCCCCCCACCCCACCCCTAAATACACACACACACACACTCTGGGGCTGACATCTATTTCCTCCCTCAGCCTCCCTCCCCTGCCTCTGCCTGCCCGCTGCCTGCAGAAGCTGACTGCCTCTGGGGCTGGAATCCTGTGCTCCCTCTGTGCCCAGGTAAGGAGACGGTGGCCCCAGGGCTGGGCAGCCTCAGTGCCCTCTCTGGACCCAGAAGAGAAGGCACAGTTTTATCAAAGGAGAGGGCTGTTACCAGCTAGGATGGCAGAGGGTTGGGTTTACCAAAGACTGCAGGGGACTTGCTGCTCTGAGGAGGAAAGGACTACATTTTCCTAGGGAATAACTAGATGCCAGGTGCAGTGGTCAACCATTAAAGCTTCTCTTTCCAGACTCAGGAGCGATCTGGGGGGAGGGTTACATGAGCAGTCCTAAGGTAAACGACCCAAGTGCACCCAGCCAGGAAGCCGAGGAGCTGGGATTCGAAGCCAGGTCTCTGACACCAAAAGCTGGCATTCTCTGACCCCAGCCCTCTGTCAAAACAGGACCTTCGCTGCTGGGCTCCCTGAGAACCCGGGGAGGCTGGAGGCCGGACTCTGTCAGCCAGGAAGCCCATACTGGGTGCTTTGTGAACGAGGACACCTCACTCAGCCGGGGAGGTGACACTGTGGCTCTGGGCACAGACGGCCAAGTGGGGGCCGGCAAGGGGAAGTAGCTTACCTCCCAGCTGGGTATGCGGGCAGCATACTCAGTCCCCAGGGCACAGTCTGAGCATCCCCATGGGACTTAGATGGGGCTCAAGGGAACGTTTCAGCCCAGAGAGGGGATGGCTCCTGTGTGTTTGCTGGGAGTGGGGTTCTCTCTCTTCCACTGCAGCTGAGGGACCCTGGGCAAGTTGCTGTGCTTCTCTGAACCTTTGTTTCCTCTTCTAAAAAATGCGGTCTCACAGGGTCATTGTGAATGTAATTGCTCTGCAGACTCTAGAGCTTGGGAAATACGAGCATTTTCAGGGAGCACGGGGACAACAGCTCGCCTCCCCCCACCTGCATGTCCCCAGCTCCAAGCAGCTCACCTGTCAAGGAAATTCTAGTTTGATATCCGGCACCCTCACCCTACGAAGGACCGCGGTCCCTGGAGAAGGGTGTGGATTTTCTCATCCTGGCCAACAGTGCCTCCCGTGGAAAGACGAATACTGAAGAACACCTCCCCCCCCACCCCACTTTCCTTCTCTTCTTTCTCCGTCATCTCGTGCTTAGAGCAGAGGTAGAGGAAAGAGAACAGGCTGAGTGCTAAACTATCCTTCCTCCACATGCCTGTGTTGTTCGGGAAGCTTTGGGTAAGTGATTTAAACACTTGAGTTTCAGTTTCCTCATCTGCAAAACGGGATGGAGAGAAGTACCAGCAGTTTTCTTCTAGAGCTGTAGCAAGAGAGTACCTACGTAAAGGATCTACCACAGTCCCTGGCATGTCATGGGGGGCCCAGGACAATCCGAGTTCCCACCCCCTGCTATCTGTCGGTCCCCACCTCCTGCAGGCAGCCTCCCACCCTGACCTCCTCTGCCCTCACTGATCTCCACTGGCTCCACATCAGATGGTCTCAGGTTATTTATTATTTTTTTAAAAAATAAATTTATTTATGTATTTTGGGCTGCGTTGGGTCTTCGTTGCTGTGTGCGGGCTTTCTCTAGTTGCGGCGAGCCGGGGCTCCTCTTCGTTGTGGTGCGCGGGCTTCACATTGCGGTGGCTTCTCTTGTTGCGCAGCACAGACTCTAGGTGCGCGGGCTTCAGTAGTTGTGGTGCGCAGGCTCAGTAGCTGTGGCGCATGGGTTTAGTTGCTCTGCGGAGTGTGGGATCTTCCCGGACCAGGGCTCGAACCCATGTCCCCTGCATTGGCAGGCGGATTCTTAACCACTGCGCCACCAGGCAAGTTCCAGCCTCAGGTTCTTGATGAGGCTGTGAGTCTGCACATCTGGCCAGGGGCTGGCTTCTCCAGCGCTTAGCTGAGTAGTCGCTCAATAAATAGCTGTTGAATGAGTATGAACAGGGCTGGGTTTCCTGTGGCTGCCCCTGAGCAGGGGAGAGGTCTTTTGGCCCTACTGGGACTCCGGAGCCCAAATCTGGTAGTTCCTTCTGCCCAGCTCTCTCCCTGCTCTTATCTTATTTCCTCTTAAACTACCAAAGGAGGGGCTGGCTCCACTGCTTGCAGTCAACACACGCAACCAGCCACCGCTCTGGGAGCGAAGGGCCACAGGACGATCTGCAGAGAGGCAAGGTCCGGGGGTGCCGTGGGTGGGTGTGTGGGTGGGTCATCCCTTAAATGCACGGACTCCGCCTTCCATTCCCATCCTCCAGCCCAGCTGAATCCTCCTGCCCTTCAGGGGGGCCTCGCTCACACCCCAGTGCTCTGGGGATTGGGAAAAGGAGCCCTTCGTGGCCTGACCTTGGTTCCTATTTCTCCAAGTGATCTGAGGCCATCTGCTTAATGATAATCACAGCGCCATTGATGCAGTGCTTCCTGCACGATTACTCTTGCTTGAAATGCTTATATATATTATTCATTCATTTAATTCAACAACCAACAACCCTATGACCTAGACCCTGTATGACAGCCATCCATGTTACGGAGGAGCAAACAGGCTCAGAAAGGTTAAGTGTATTGCCCAAGGTTGCACAGTGAGCAGGTGGTGGGGCTGAGATGTCATCCCCCACCTTACTGCCCTTGCTCAACTTCATTGATCCCCAGGGGCCTCACCTATACCTGTCATGGGTCAGAGTCCCATCTCCTGGCCAGGGTTGCCCGTTTCCTGGCATTGCTCACCGCAGTGCCTCTTTCTCTCCGCCGCAGAGCCCACGATGTCGGCCAACGTCACGATGAAGCCCCTCTGTCCCCTCCTGGAGCAGATGAGTCACCTCCAAAGCCACAGCAACTCCAGCATCCGCTACATGGACCACGCGTCGGTGCTGCTGCACGGGCTGGCCTCGCTGCTGGGCCTCGTGGAGAACGGGCTCATCCTCTTCGTGGTGGGCTGCTGCATGCGCCAGACCGTGGTCACCACCTGGGTGCTGCACCTGGCACTGTCCGACCTGCTGGCCACCGCCTCCCTGCCTTTCTTCACCTACTTCCTGGCCGTGGGCCACTCCTGGGAGCTGGGCACCACCTTCTGCAAGCTGCACTCCTCCATCTTCTTCCTCAACATGTTCGCCAGCGGCTTCCTGCTCAGCGCCATCAGTCTGGACCGCTGCCTGCAGGTGCTGCGGCCCGTGTGGGCGCAGAACCACCGCACGGTGGCCGTGGCTCACAGGGTATGCCTGGCGCTCTGGGCCCTGGCCGTGCTCAACACCGTGCCCTACTTCATCTTCCGGGACACCATCCCGCGGGTGGACGGGCGCATCATGTGCTACTACAACGTGCTGCTCCTGAATCCCGGGCCCGACCGCGATGCCACGTGCAACTCGCGCCAGATGGCCCTGGCCGTCAGCAAGTTCCTGCTGGCCTTCGCTGTGCCGCTGGCCATCATCGCCTCGAGCCACGTGGCCGTGAGCGCGCATTTGCGCCACCGCGGCCGCCGGCGGCCCGGCCGCTTCGTGCGCCTGGTGGCGGCCGTGGTGGCGGCCTTTGCGCTCTGCTGGGGGCCCTACCACGTGTTCAGCGTGCTGGAGGCGCGGGCGCACGCGGACCCCGCACTGCGGCCGCTCGTGTGGCGCGGGCTGCCGTTCGTCAGCAGCCTGGCCTTCGTCAACAGCGTGGTCAACCCGCTGCTCTACGTGTTCACCTGCCCCGACGTGCTGCGCAAGCTGCGGCGCTCGCTGCGGAGCGTGCTGGAGAGCGTGCTGGTGGACGACAGCGAGCTGGGCGGCGGGGGCGGCAGCAGCCGCCGCCGCCGCCGCACCTCCTCCACCAACACCTCGGCCTCCTCCTTCTCGCTGCGCGGCCGCGGCCTGTCCCCGCTCGGACCCGCAGGCCTGCTCGGCTGGCTGCGGGGTAGCCGCGCGGCGCCCCCGCAGAGGGACCGGGCCCAATCCCAGGACGAGCGGGGCCCCCTGAACCGGGCGCCGCGCACCACCTCGGCGTAGGAGGCACGGGCCGGGGATCGCCAGGCTCGGACCATTCTCCCCCCACCCCCCCGCCCCCGGGAAGCAAGAGCAGGGAGCGATCGCGCGCAGCGGCTTCCCCAGGGCCCGGACGTTTAGTCGGAGGCTAAGGAATCTGCATGTTAAAGCGCCCCACGTGACTCAGTGTATCCTTTTCAGAAACGAAGTGAGCTAAAGCCGTGCTTCTCAAACTTTCTTATGCGAGAGTCACCCAGGGATCCTGTCTGCTTGAACGGGCCGCCGGGCGGGTGTGCGGACGATCTGCATTTCTAACAAGCTCCCAGGAGGCGATGGGACCACACTCTGAGTAATGGGAGGTTAAAACGCTGACATCTCAGACTAGGGTAGTGGACGGCCCAAGGTACACAGGACGCATCTCCCTGAAGCTGTTTTTAGCAGATGATGGGTGGGGTGGATTTTTACATTAAACCAGTGATGTAGTTTTGGAGTAGAAAGCGAGAGAGGAAACGTTTGGGAAGCACTTCCGGTCTAACCTTCTCGCTTCGGTCATTTAGTTGCGCATTACTTAACTACACGCTTTATCCCACAATCCCCAGGGGCAGGTTCTATTAGCCCCACTTTTTACCATGTGCAAACTGAGGTGCAGGGAGGTTAGGTAACCTGCCCAAGGTGCAGGGACTGCATACCAGCCATTAGGCATTACCTGTTCAATTACTATTAGTACGTGAAAAGGCACCCCCCACATACCTAAGGTCCTTCAGATAGCAGCTGCATGGGAGCCCCCATCTCTACCTGTCCGACCCAGCATTGCCCGAAGTGGTCAAAAGTTTGGGAAACCTGTGCTAATCAGAGTGCAATGGACATCCTTATTGAAGGTCTTTAGTGTTTGGATGAACCCTGCAACCTCCGTGACCACAGCCGGTGATATTTCCTCGCTCATCTGACACATGTGCCAGCCTACAGTTCCCTGGGACGCCTTCTGAGCAATGCTGGTAATCCCTAGATCTGTGCAGCACCCACCTCCCTCCCGACCGCACAGGGCTGCAGCACTGACCCCCAATTCGTAGGCGCGAGGGGTAACTTACCGTAGCATCTCCACTCTACCATGTCTGTTTAGCTCAGCACCCCGGGGCCTGGTGCAGTTGGCGCGGTACACGTTTGGTGGATGGAACGTCAGTGGACGAGCCAGGGGAGAAACTCTCCTGGGATCTTGGTCCAGTGTTCCCTGTGCCACCACTCGCAGCTGGGCTCCCAGCGTTTACTCTCAGTGCCAGGCAGGGCCCGGCCCACAGCAAGCGCTTGGCAAACGGAGCGGTCGACAGACAGCTGGCTGAGCGGACATCCTGTCTCGACCTCGCCCGTGCCCCCTCCCACCTGCTCCCCTGCTTCACAGAGCACTCGGCGCCAACCGACACACAGTACACTTTACTTGTTTGTTATGTTTTCTCCACCAGAATGAAAGATCCTTGAGGGCAGGGACTTTTGTCTCTATTCCCTGGCACCTAGAATTGTGCCTGTACACAGCAGGCCTTCAATAAATATTTCTGCTGTAGACTGGATGGCATGAGTTAATCAGATCTCTCGGGCTTCTGCAGAGTCTGGTACAGGAAAGGGGGAGCTAGAGAGACCCTGCCCCCTGCAACCTCCCCATTTTAACCTTAAGTGTTGAAAAGTGGGGCGGAGCTGGATTCAGTCTGCTGGGTGGCAGGGTCAGTGGGGTGCAGAGGGAGCCAGAGCAGCCTTTGGGGAGGTGTGTCAGGGGGAGGTGGATTCCTGACTTCCGGCCTCCTGGCCTGGGTTAGACCCAGGACTCTGAGACAGAACATACATATTTTGGGGAGTCACCCGCCAGTCACCAGCTCCCTGAGGAACCAGAAATTACTCTTCGTGGTTTGAAGGCACTTGGAGAGGAGGGGGGAAGGGGGAGGGGAGGGGCGGAGGAGCGAGCTGACCCTCCTCCCTCCTCCAGTCTCTGCCAGGTCCCAGGCTACCTCTGGGTCTGTGCCACAAAGCCCTGCCTGGGAGCCCTTTTGAAGGCTCGGAGCCCCGTCTCGGGTGGAGCCATGGAGCTGGAGTGCTGGGTCAGCGGAGGCGCGTGGCCGCCACGTGTGACACGGTGCTCGGCCACAGGAGGCCCCGGCCACGCTGAGCTCAGACCTTGGCCGCTGGCCGCCGTGGCGGCTGCTCCTGCAGCTGGGCCAGCGTGTCGCGCTTCTCAATGGAGCGCAGCTGCTGCTTCTTCGCTCGCCTGAGCTTGGCGGGGTTTCGGATCTGGGGGAGGTTGAAGGGAGGGCGTTATTATGGCTGGAGTCTCCGCCCTGCTCCCCGGGGAAAGGGAGGCCACTGCGGGGGCCGTAAAGCAGGGGTGCCAGGGTGTCTGGAACACGACATTCAGGCTGGCCGCGTCCCGTCCCGCAAGCAGGGCAACGCTCACCACTTGGACGATCTCCGCCTTCCGCTCGTTCTCCAGGCGGCGTTTCAGGTTCTCGGCGCGGCGCTGCTTCTTCTCCTGGACACACAGGGGAAGGGGATTGGGTCTGGGAGCCGAGGCGGCCCTGGTCTCCCAGGCAGTGAGAGCTGACAGAATTCCCAGGGAGGAGGGCAAAAGGCCCACTTATCCCGGCTCCAGGTTGTTCCTGGTGCTGGGGCGTGGAGAGGCAGCAAGGAACCATCCCTGTGCCCCTGGGACCAGCACCCAGAGGCCCACTCCGGTCGGAAGTTCCTGACTTCACCTGAGAAGGGGGGCGCCTGGTCAGGCGGCTGAGGACACTGCGGTTGGAGGGGGAGGGGCGGGGTAAGACACAGGTCGCACCCCACCTGGAAACTCAGGCCCATGTAGACAGTGGTTCCTCTTACCACGCCCCTCATCAACTGCCCGGGGAGAAGGGGTGGCTGGCCCTTTCCCTCATTCCCGTCCTCTCAGAGTCTCCCCTCTCCCCCTGAAGCCCACGAGCCCCTAGAATGAAGGGCTGGGGTGAGGGCTGGCCTCCTAGGTTCACCCTGGCGCAGGGCTGGGAAGGGCGGAGGCTGCAGAGAAGAGGCTCCGGAGCGTCTGGTCCCGGTTTGAATCCTGACTCTGCTACTTCCTAAACGTGTGACCGTGGCCAAGTGGTTTAAGCTCTGTGCCTCAACCTCCCATCTTTAAAGTGACGATAATTACATAAGATTCTTTTGAGGACTAAACGAATGAACACACATACAGGGCTTGGAATAGTACCGGCCCACTGGGAACACTTAGAAGATGAGTGTAGACGGAGTCTTCCTTGGGAATGGCGACGCTGACTGCTGTCCCTGGTGGGGCAGGGCAGGGACGGTGGCCCCAAGGCTGTGCATGGCCAGGGGCCTCCCTCGTCTTTGGCAACACAGGGTAGGGGTGGCTTGGGCCCGGAGGGAGAAAGGAGAAGTGACACTTGAGCTCCCGGAGATGCAGGGGAAGGTCTGGACTGGGGGCTGGGCAGGGGCACCTCTAAAGGGGACGGTGACAAGAAGGTTCTCTCTTTCCCAAGAGGGAGCCACGGCCACACAGGAAGCTAGATAAGGCCTCAGCATGAGGCGGAGGCCACACAGTCTGCAGGTCCTCGGCCATAGGCTGAGCTGGGGCAACTCAAAGCAGGGGACAGATGACCAAGTGGCTGACCCCCCCCCCCATGGCCAGGCAGGGACTGCAGGCTGGGGGCAAGGTGTCTGACTCCTCCGGTGGCCTGGGGACCACAAGGCGAGTGACATCCCACTGAGAAGTCCGCTCCTGGTGGATCTCCACCGCCACCTCCCTGTCTGCCTGCTGGGGCTTCCTGGAGGCTAGAGAGGTTGGGCGTGAACCTCTAACAGGGCACCTGTGTCCCTGGGATAAGCGTGAGGGAGCGCTGGAGGAACGCACAGGCCGTCCCCTCCACTGATGTGTAGCAGCTGTGTCTTGGGGAATGCCAGCAACACTTGGATGAGGCATCCAATCTGTATGCTCTTCCCACCCTTCCCCGGGGCCCCGAGGCTGGAGAACGGCTTTTTTTTTTTTGCAGTACGCGGGCCTCTCACTGTTGCGGCCTCTCCCGTTGCGGAGCACAGGCTCCGGACGTGCAGGCTCAGCGGCCATGGCTCACAGGCCCAGCCACTCCGCAGCATGTGGGATCCCCCGGGACCGGGGCATCGGCAGGCGGACTCTCAACCACTGCGCCACCAGGGAAGTCCTGGAGAACGGCTCTTGACCAAGCCCCTCCCACCCCAGCCTGGCCGACCCCTCACCTGCCGGCGCCTTTCCTTCTCCTCCTGCAGGTGCCGGGCGAAGTCCTTGGCCTGCTTTCTCTCCTGCCGGTCCTTCATCTTCTGCTGCCAGGATGTGCGCAGGGGCTTGTCCTGAACCATCTGGGAGAACCTGAATGGGGGAGACTGGGTGCTCTTGGAGTCCGCGGGATGCCCCGGTGCCCTCCCTCTGGGCCTCCTTCCCTACCTGCCTGCTTGCCCGGCAGTCGACCCTCCAGGTCTGTAGAAACTTGGAGCAGGAAAGGGTCCTGATCACGCCCACTGCCATTTCTTAAGCCCTGGTTACGTACCTGAGGTAGGAACTCCTGTTCCCTCCAGTTTATAGAGGAGCAAACAAAGACTCAGAGACGTTAAGTAATTGCCCAAGGTCACCTTGCTCCTGAGCAGCGGTCTGTGACCAGAGTCCGGGCTGCACGGCCTCCAGCGCCAAGCTCCGCTGCTCCGGCCGAGCACTGAGGGCTGGGCGTGGACGCCTCTGCAGAGGGGGCTCACTCCCTACTGGGGCGCCCATTTCATCTCAGAACAGCGCAGATGGTCACGGTCCCCTGCAGTGATTCAGAACCTCTGTCCCAGCAGGGGAAATGTGAAAATGGAGTGGGTGCTAGGGAACAACAGGGAAGTCTTGATTTTCTAAAGAGTGATAGTGACACGGTCACAGAAGCGAGGTTACCTCTGTAAGAACGCACACCGCCAGGATCTAGGGGTGGATGATAAATCTAGGACGTGCTGTAAAACATTCCAGGAAGATGGAAAGACGTCAAGGAGCAAGAGGGCACTAGACCAGGAAAAGGCTGAGGGCTGCTGAGACTGGTGATGGGGCTTGGGGGTTCATGCAGCCGTGCCGCCCCTTTTCCAGAAGCTTTCTCCTTGAACGATTTGAAGCCTGTTCGGGTGTCCCACGGGCCTTCTTTCCCCCTCAGCACTTCCTTTCGTAGTGGCCTTTCCGCCTCCCTCGATAATTTCTTGACTTTCAAAAGAGCTCCTGTTTACCCACGTCCACTCTACCATGCCCCAAGCGGTCACAGCAGTGGGCTGCAGTGGGCACCAGGCCGAGCCCACTCCCGCCCCTGGGGAAGGTCAATATGGCTCTTCTGGTTCATCTTTCCCCTTTCTTGCTCCACAGGAGTCTGCACATACAGCCTGGACCCTGACCCCACGCCTGTCCGTCCTCAGTCTGGTTCTGCCTACCCCCCGCCCCCGCTCCCCAGTTCTGCCTGCCTGCCCCCAGCACACACCCCACTGCTTCTTCTCCCCCTCCCCTTACGTGGAGACAAGAACCGTTCCCATCACAAAGGGTGGTGGGAGGATTAATGGCTCACGGCCCGAGAAGCGCTCAGCACAGTGCTCTGCATATAGTAGGTGCTCAGTGAATCCACCCTTCAGAGAAGGGAGACGGTGCACCCAGGGAGCACTGGGCAGAAGGTGGCATTAGGCCTGGGCACGGGGGGTGGGGCGGGGTGGGTGGGTGGGCGTGTGCTTCCCAGCCTCGGCTCCCTCCCCCCCGCATCCCCCCTTTGCTGGGGCACCTCGTGCAGCAGGTGCTGCCCCTGCCTTCTCGGGCCTCACTCACCAACTGCTGAAGCTGCTTCCTCAAAGGTCCCAAACATCCATTCAACAGCCCCTCTGGCCCTTATCCACAGGCCTGGTGCCGCTTCTGAAGGTGCTTTAATTCTACTGCAGCAGCTTCCTTACTGGTCTCCCTGGTCTCCCCTCTGCCCTCCTAAAGGTCTGTTCTCCACAGGCCAGACCGGTCCTTGCAGAGGTCAGATCGCATCACTCTTTTGCTCAACACCTCCCATGGCTCTCACGCTCACTCAGGTCCCTGCAAGGGCCCACGTGGGCCCACGTGACCTGGCCCTGTGACCACTCTGACCTCCTACCGCTCCTCTTGTGCCCAGTGACGAGGCCTCTGGACTTTCTGTCCCCCTTGCCTGGGTACTCTTTCCCAGTATGTTCATTCAGGCCTCTGCTCACATCCCTGTGGCAGTGAAGCCATCTGTAATCACTGTGGCAACGCCCTGCACCTCTTGCTTTGTTATTTTCCTGTATTGCCCTAATTACTGATATATGTATATATTACGTGTTGGTTACCCATTTCTCACAACTAGAATGTTTTGTTTATAGCCATGTTTACCCCCAGATCCTAGCTCAATGAAATATAAACTGGTTGAACGAATGAACTACCTTCTGTTCTCATTCATCTACTTGTTTGACTCAGTGCCTACCATGTGCTGGGCTCTGGGGAGAATCTAGCTATTGTAGGTAAATCCTCACTCTCCTGGAGCCTCTGGTCTAGAGGGGAAGCTGGCAGCCGACAAGAATCACACACGTAAACAAGCATTTGTGCAAATGGGTGTTACAAAAGATATAAGGTACAATGACAACACATAGCTTGAGGACTTAACCCTGGTTGGGTTGCACAAAGAGGGCTTTTCCCAGGGGGTGCATGTTTAAGTGGAGCCCTGGAAGACGAGCAGGGAATGGCCAGGGGAGGAGCCTTTCAACAGAAGGAACAGCATGTGCAAAGGCCCTGAGCTGGGAGGGAGCATCACCTACAGGGAACACACAGAGGGGAGGTCAGTGTGGGAGATTCTTAGTGATGGCAGAGATGGCAGGGGAGAAGAAGACGTCTGGAGCGCAGCTCCAAGCAAACACCAGGAAGCTGGGAAGCATTTCAGCTCAGGCAGGAAGCTGGGACAAAACGCCCTTTCTCTTGCTTCTTGGTGTCCTCTGCTGACCCTCTCTTCTCCTGGCCTGTGTGTCGGAGCAGCCTCCTCATGCTCAGTGAGCTCCTCTCCCCGCCGTCCACCTCCTGAGTACCAGGACTCCAGGCTCCCATACTCAACTTGCTCACCATCCTCTCCCCACCGGAACCAACCTCTTCATCTGGTCCCACATGGCCATCAGTGGCCCCACCATTCTCTGGGACCTGCTGGGACCGAGGTGGAGGGGCAGCGCCACCACCCACTTCTCCAAGTCCAACAGTCGCTCCATCTTCAAAGTCTCTGATTGGTGACTTGTAGGAAATCACTCCCTCAGTTTCAGTTTCTTCTCTGTTTAAGGGGGGAGGGGCTTGGGGGAGGGGCATAATGCCCACCGCCTTGGGGTTTAGGGGGTCAGCAAAATGACATCTGCAAAAGGCCTAGCACAAAGCACAGTCATCCCTTAGTAAGTGTCCGCTTCTTCCATAAAAATCACTGCCTTCCCCTATGGGCCCTCACAGCCACGAATTCCTGTCTACCCAGTGGTTCCCAGTAGCTAAAACACGAACTGGACCCCACCTCTCCTTCCTGGCAGCCTAAACATTTCCTTCTTCAGTTGCGCCTCTTTGTTCCTTCACTCAACAAGCATTTAATTGAGCACTTACTGCCCGCGGCACAGAAAGACAAGACCTCACGCCTACCCTTTAGAAGGGATAGTTAGGGAGTTTGGGATGGACACGTACACACTGCTGTATTTAAAACAGATAACCAACAAGGACCTACTGTAGAGCACAGGGAACTCTGCTCAATAGTATGTAACAACCTAAATGGGAAAAGAATTTGAAAAAGAACAGATACATGTATATGTATAACTGAATCACTTTGCACCTGAAACTAACACAACATTGTTAATCAACCATGCTCCAATATAAAATAAAAGTTAAAAAAAAAAGAGGTTGCAATTCAATGCAAGGCGGTTCTACAGAGCACGGGTAAAGGGCTTTCACGCAGACTCTGGAATCGGATCTGTGTTCAGGTCCTGCCTCACCACACATTTAGCCGCCCTGAGCCTCAGTGCCCTCATATGTGAAATGAGGATAATCCCCGTGCCAGCTGCTTCATTGAGCTGATGGCTGATTAAATGCCAAGAGGCAGGCTGCTCCCTGCTTGAAAGGCCCTTCCCCGGGCCAATCCGCACCACAGTGCTTAGCAGCGTCCTGTATACTCAGCGCTTGGTAGTGCCTTTTATCAAAAAGGCAAACAACTGTAACAGATAATGGTGGATGAAGACCTCACTGCTGGTGTACTTGCTTCTGCCCCCTTCCCAGAGAGGGCAGAGACAAGGATAAATGCGTGTTGAATGAACACACAGATGAGGTGCTATCCAGGGGTCCTTTAAGGGCACCCCTCCCTGAGATCCCAGTGCATTTCACCACATTCTGGTTATAATTACCTCTTTGTGTGACTCCCCCAGTGATGTGAGATCTCCCCAACCTACGGGCTATCTCCTGGCTGCACCCCGGCTGCAGCACCACACAGAACCCCACCCCTGCCTAGCTGTCCCCCACCTCACCTCTTCTTTGAGCGGTCCTTCCACACCCGCCCAGACTTGGGCTTCCCCTTCGGGATCTTAGGAATCTCCTCCTTCTTCGGTTTCTTGGACGCTGCGGCCTGGGCTGAAGAACCTTCTCGCTTCTTTGGCCCGAGGCCGTCTCTCTCCGGCTGCCCGGGCGGCGGTGGCTTGCTCGGCTCACGCTGATCCCGTGGGGAGCCGGGCGACTGGGGTGTCAGCTCCTGCAGTGGCTGAGAGGGCTCGGGACCCGGCGCTTGCTGACCGGGGTAAGGTTCTAGTGACCCTGGACTCGGCTGCAACTGATGTCGGGGGGACCCCTGGGTCGGCTCCTCCTTACTCTTGGGCGACTCCGAATCCGCTTCTTCTCGGTCCTGGAAAAACTTCGGTGACTCCCCACTTGGCTGTGGCTGAAGTCGGGAGAATTCAAGACTCGATTCCGGCTGTCTTTGGGGCGACTCCAGGCCTGGGTCTCGCTGACGCTGGGGCGACCCTGGGCCCGGCTCTGGCTGCTCTCGGGGGGACCCCAAGCCTGCCCCCTCCCGTAAACTGGGTGATTCAGGGCTTGTCTCCGGCTGATGTCTGGGAGACTCCAGGCCAGGTGGCCGCACTCTCCGAGGAGACCCGGGCTCCCTCCTTTCTTCTGGGTTCGACTCGAACTCCACAAGGGCCCGTCTCGCCCGCAGAACTGAGGTGGGGTTCTCGGGGGATTCAGGCTTTAGTCCTTCCAGCCGCCGGCTGCGCCTCAGCGGCGTATCCATGGCCCGGGCAGAGTTTCTAAACGCGAGCCCACGTGCAGTCTCTGGGACTACCGGCGCCGTCCTATGACGTTATAACCCCGCTACGTCTGCGCCGGGCAGGAGGGGCTGTTGCCTCGGAGGCCATGTTGGTGATGGGCGAAGAGGCTCAGGGAGGAGTCCGGGGAGAGCGGGCGTTGGGTTTACTAGGCGCATGCGCAAAGCGCTTTGGCTCATTTACCTGTGATTGAAGAATGAGTCCGAGCTTGAGATCCGTATTCACCTTGCCTGCGAGCCCAGTCTCCCGGGGGGGAAAGAGAGTGTGCAGGCGGAAAAAGGTAGAAGGGGTCCCATTTTCGGGAGAGAAGAGGATTGGAAAAAGATCCAGGGAGCCTGTAGGCAAGGCTGGATGGAAACTTTGCTGCTAACTCACTTCTTTACTGCTAACTCAGCTTCAGCGCTGAGCACAGCCCCACCTGCTGAGTCACTGCGGACAGGACACAGCAGCAGGAGTGAGAGTATCAGCGTATCAGATGGGCCCCAGTGTGTCCTGACTGCTGATCAAGAGGAGGTGAGGAGGAGGAAAACCCAGGCAAGGTTCCTGGAGGACGGAAAAGTGGATTGAGGATTCCTTAACACCTCTCACCCCTTGGCTGGTGCCACACAGCATCCAAAATGCACCCCGATGAGTTTAGCCTGTTGAAATCACCTCCCCAAGGGTAAGGCGATGGCAGGCTTCTACAATAACCTTAGAGGTTGTCAGAATTAGTTGCACCCTTGTGCTGTAATCCTGTGTCAGTCCCTGCCTTCCTGGCCGCTCTCAGAGACTCCATCTTCAGGCTCAGCGGCCTTGGGCCCCTTGCTCCTGGACCAAGGAAATCCTTGCAGTGAGGCTTTGTCTCAGTGCCCCAGCGCAGCAGTGCAGCTCCCCGCTGCAGAAGCAGCTCAGACCCCTCCTTGGCCAGCTCTTCCAACCCCCCAATTCTCAGTTCCTTAAATCCCCTGCCCCAGCCTGGACGCCTAAATGGCCTGCCACTCAGATCCACACCTGGCATGCATTACCAGGGCTGTGGAGACGGCACACCACCTCACTGCCCTGCCCTACCCTGGGTCCCCTCAGCTCTCCTGGCTTCCTGAGCACCCGTCCTCAGCTGGAGGGATCACTCTCTAATGCCAATTGGATCGTATCCTGGTTCCGCTTAAAATACTTCAGAGGGTGATCTCAGGTCCCTGCCAGGTGATGTAAGAGCAGGGGATGCTTTACAGACATCCTTCAGCTCAGGTGAGGAGACCCCTAGTCAGTGGAGGCATCAAGCGATCTCTGGCCCAGAACCATCGCTTCCACCCAGGCTCAGTTCGTCATTGTCATTATAAATGGTGTGCAGGGGCCCAGGGGACATTCCTGAATTTTCCAGAAAAGGTTGGTGTGACGGTTGCTATTGGAACTCTGTTCTCATATGCTCTTTGTCTTTCTACTGCAGGCATCCCAGCCTCCTGCCCTCGGGGGAAAGGATGCTGAGGGGGGTGGGTCTTCTGCAGTCTCCCAGAGGCCCCAGCAGGATTGAGCCCCAGTTTCTACGAAGGCAACCTGGTCATTCATGCACCTCCTTTTGGCTTCTCCCCTGTTCCTGTCTCAGCTTCCCACTCCCTTATAGGTGCTTGCTGGGCTCGTTTTCTTTCTTTCTTTTTTGGCGGCGCCGTGTGGCGTGTGGGATCTTAGTTCCCCGACCAGGCAATGGAACCCGTGCCCCCTGCATTGGGAGTGAGGAGTCTTAACCACTGGACCGCCAGGGAAGTCCCCTTGCTGGGGTCATTTTCTGAATAGACTATTTGCATTTAAATCCTTGTGTCAGAGTCAGCTGTGGAGGAACCCAGCCAAAAACACTGGGACAAGCATTTATTGGACCAGGCATTCTTTCAAGTGCTCTATATGTACAAACCCACTTAATCCTCACAACCACCCTGTGTGGCAGGTGCTGTTGTTATTACTCCAATTTCACAGATAAAGAAAACTGAGGCACAGAGAGGCTGGGACACTTGTAAAGGTCACACAGCAGAGAAACGGTGGAGGCGGGATCCACATGTGGGCTTCTGACTGCAGAGCCACAACACTTAAGAGTAAATCTCCCTGTTATCCGTGTAAGAAAACCAAGGCACAGGAAAGCTAAGCTGTTTGCCTAAAGTCACACAGCTCTACATCGACGAACAAGGACTACATTTCCGGTGCTGACAAGCTTAGTTGCCTTGCAACTGTCCCTCCCGTGGGCCTCCCTCAACCGTTGGTCTGCGCACTGGGAGATGCTCGGTGCCAGGTCGCCTCAGGGGCCTGCCGAGGCTCTGTGTGCGCACGCGCGGGGCGGAGTGTGCTGAATCAGCAATACCGGGCTTGCTTATGTAACCTGAGATCTGCTGACTGAAGGAAACTGTGTGCCCACAGATGACGGAAGATACAGATCAGGTGTTCTTCTCAGAGCCACTGAGCCTCCATCCAGCCACAGGTGCTGTGGTTGAGAGGGTTTGAGATGTCAGGCACCTGTATCCCTGTATCCTCTGCTCAGCACCAAGATCAGGGATGGCTGGGGAATGGGTCCTGGCAGTCACCAGACGCACTCCTTGAGCACTTGCTCAGTGCCGGGCCTCCCCTGGGTGCTCATTAATCCCCTGGGACGTCGGTGCAGGAGGGGGGTTGCAGCACATGCCGGATGAGTGTTTGCTGTATAAGTGAACGGGCAGGGAGGAACATGTGCGGTTCACCAACAAGGAAATCCAAGGCTGGGACAGGCTGTGCTCTGGCACAGGGTGACCCAAGGAGAGGGTGCAAGGTGCAAGGTCAGGGCTGGAACTCGGGGCTTCCTGACTCTAAACCCAAGCGCTCACTCTCACGTGCACTGTGCTCAGGACTAGGAGACGGGGGCTGAGGATGTGTAAGGACTTCCTCGGTCTGGGAGGGTGGATCTGGCGACTGGGACATCGCTGAGTGTGGCTGGTGTGAGAGCACGGCCCCGATGAGGCCCCGACGAGGCGGAGGCGTCACTGCACTTGATCTGCCCATGCCTGCCCTTCACTGGGTCACGTGGGTCCAGGCTGCTGTCTGTTCCACTCAGGGTTCTCAAGTATTCGAAGACAGTTTTCCTGCAGCTTCCCCAGAATTGTCTTTTATCCTGGCTGACCATCTGCTCCTCCAGCTGTCTCTCCCACAGCAGTCAGTCTCTGGGGAAGACACTGGTTCTCTACAGCCTTCAGACTGTGGTGTCCAAAGCTCCTGCAGGCACCCAGGGTTGACTGTCCCACAGAGAGCCGAGTGGATTTGTCACCTCCCTGCTCCATGGTCCCTCTCAGTATGGCCAGGCACCCACCCTCTCTTCTCAACAGTGAGCTGCCAATTGAAACACTGTCTGGTTCCAGCTGCTGATCCCGGGATCCTGGACGTGAGCTGTTGGCTTTTCTAGACAAGTGCGGAATGTGTCATTTGGCCATGCTACATTTTGCTTTGACCTCTCTGGAGACCCAGTTCTCCTCCTTCAATCTTTGCTGCCCCCTCCTCCTGTGGGCGTGTGAACAGCTGCTCTGGGCACCGTGAATCAGGCTTTCCTGAGAACCTGCAAAAGAGCGAGGTTATCATGTCTGTTCTTATCATGGGCTCTTTCTTATCTTGGAGGTTCATCTTTTCTGCGCATTCCCAGCAGCTCGCAAGGAGTTTCAGATCCTCAAGAGGAGGGGGCAGAGACCTCAGCGGAGGGGCCAGGGGGAAGGACGGGCAGGAGTGGCACCTGGGACCCCTGGGCATTGCCAGGGTGCAGAGAAGCTGACTTGATTGCGAAGGGACCCCTTTGCAAAGCTCTCGTGAACCCGCAAAGCTTATCTCCTGATCCCCTCGCAGCATCTGCAGGTTTTGCTGAAACAGGAAGGGGTGGATGTGCTACTGCCGGTGCGACAAGACCTCCCTCTGCCCTCCCACACCCCCGGGCCCTCGCCAGATTCCACAGTCTGGTCCGCTGCCCAGGAAGGGAGCGCAGGGATGGGCTGGGGAATAAACACCTGTGCCAGGTGGAAGGAAGATACCCCAAGAAGGGGGGCATGGCAACTCATGCCGTATCTCACCCTCACCCCAATGTGTCCAATAGCAATGCTTCTCAAACTTGGGTGGGCATCAGAATCACATAGAAGACATGTTAAAAGCCAGATTTCTGGACCCAAACTCCAGACATGATGATTCAGTAGGTCTGGGGCGGGCCTGGGATTCTGCATTTCTACAAGCTCCCCGGTGATGCTGCTGTTGGTACGTGGACCACACTTAGGGGAGCTGTGTCCTGCTGGAGGGAGTGAGAGATTTCCTGTCTCACCTTCGTGGACGGGGCTGGGGCTGAGTTCCCCATCATCCTACTGCTTACTCATTCACCAAATACTGACTGAATATTTACTCTGAGAGGCACTAGGAGTAGAGCAGGGGGCAGGGCAGTTCTGGTCCCTGCCTCCATGGCACTTACATTGTCTTGGGGCACTTGTGTGAAACACTTGAATCTCAGAACTACCCTTTGAAGGAAGCTGAGCAAGAATCATCATCCCTATTTCACAGGTGAGGAAATAGCATCACAGAGAGGTTACGTGCCTTGCTGAGAGTCACGTTAATGTTAAGTGGCAGGGTCTGAACTCAGGACTTCTCAACTCAAAATCTGGCCACCATCCCCTGGCTGTGAAACATCTCAGTTTTCATGGGGCTGGATTTCGATGGCAGAGATACAGACCCTGGACACGTGTCTGTGGGTGACAGCTGGGGGCTTCATTCTTATGGATGGAAGGTGAGCTTGACAGACAGACACACCTCCCCACACACCCCCACACACAGGATAACTGCAGAGTTTCACGGTGACTCGCTTCCCCTCCCTTCCTCGCTGTTCAGTTAACCCTCTCCTCTCATTTCCTCTAACATCTGGTTCCTCTGCAGCTCTGGCCCCTCCTGCCATATCTGCTCCAGCGAGGGTGGTCCCCTCCATCCAATATGGCAGCCTCATCTCCATGGCAACCCCTGGAGACCTTGCCTTGGTGACCAAGGCGCAAATTATGAGGCCCCTTTTCTGAAGCACAGACCAACGAGGCCCCTGATTTGAGGATGGGAATCTGCTGGCCCTTTGGCAAGGGAACCTCTGCTCCCTCTCCCCCTCTGCACACTCTAGCAGTGAACAAAAACCAGCCCTGTATCAGACTGAGCTGTAAGTTGAGGTTTCCCTTCAGTCAGTAGTCTTGCTTCTCCATACCTCTCACGCTGCGTCCAAAACCTCATGCTCCGGGCTTCCCTGGTGGCACAGTGGTTGAGAGTCCGCCTGCCGATGCAGGAGACGCGGGTTCCTGCCCCGGTCCGGGAGGATCCCACATGTCGCGGAGCGGCTGGGCCCGTGAGCCATGGCCGCTGAGCCTGCGCGTCCGGAGCCTGTGCTCCGCAACGGGAGAGGCCACAACAGTGAGAGGCCCCTGTACCGCAAAGGGAAAAAAACCCAAAAAAACCTCATGCTCCTGGAGCCCAGTGGATCAGCCAGGCTCATTCTTCTGGACCCCACACCCTAAGGCTTGCTCTACCGAAGGATCGTTATAGAAAGGAACAGATCATTTCCCCCTAAAGACCCCTTCATATGCTTACAGATTTAAAAGCATAGTGTCTCTGGTAAATTTTAAGGACATAAAAATTATAGCAAATTTGATGAGAAGACATTTTATTGCTGTGGATTAGAGAAACACAAAAATATACCAATTCCACTGGCAGTTTAAACGATAGAGATTCTGTCCACAGTGGCTACCAAGCATGGAGGGCGTTTGCAGGTATTATCTCATTTAATCTCAGGCAACCTTATGAGGAAATTAATCCTACTGCCCTGGTTTTTAGAGGTGAAGGAAAGTGTTCAGGGACGGGCAGTTGGAGACAGGCAGAGAGAGAATTCAAATCCACGACTCTGCCTCCAAAGCAGGTATACCTTCACCTATACCACTCTGCCTCTGTGTTTTAGGCACTTGACCTAAATAAAAAAGAAATCCTTTCTTTAGCCTAGGCCTAATTTTCCATTCTTTAAAAATAAGTCCCGAGGCAGAAATTTCATGTTGTTAAGAAACTGTATGCCTTCCACACAGAGCAGGACTTATCAAAGTTATTGATTATAACTTTGCTTACTTGGTTATTCTGCTGCTCCTTTATTTTCTCTTCAAAATAACATATTACACAACACTCAGATATTATCACTCTCTGCTTGAGTTGTTTTAGTTCTCTGCCTGTGAGATGACTGTGGGTAGATCTAGATACCCCACATTTTTGTTCTTAGAAATCAGACACAGAAGGTGTAGGAGATTACATTTTTAAAAGCTGGCTGTGGGACTTCCCTGGTAGTCCAGCAGTTAAGACTCCATGCTCCCAACGCAGGCGGCCCGGGTTTGATCCCTTGTCAGGGAACCAGATCCCACAGCCACAACTAAAAGATTCTGCACGTGGCAACAAAGATCCCTCGAGCCACAACTAAGACCCAGTGCAGCCAAATAAATAACTATTAAAAAAAAAAAGTTGGCTGCAATGGTATCTCCCATACATGTGTTCTTCTTCCAGTGTGACCTTGACACTGTTTCCCTTGAGTAGTAGGACCTTTGTGATTGCCTTGGCCAAAAGAGTATGGCAGAACTGTTGCTCTGGGACTTCTAAGCCTAGATCATAAGAATGCCACGTGCTTCTGCCTGGCTATGATGGGGTGCTCACTCTTGGAGCTTAATTGCCATGCAGTGAGGAAGCCCAAATCATCCCATGTGGAGAGACCACACAGAGAGTCCAGTGAAGGTGTTCCAGCTGACAGCCCAACTGATGTCC